TTCTGTACAACGTGCTCTGGAATGACCCTGCTTGAGCAGGAGGTCAGACCAGATGTTCCACTGTGGTCCCTTCCAAACAGACACGTTCCATGATTCTGTTATATCCTGAGCTGCCTTCAGCCATTGCATGTAGGGGATTTAGGTGAAAATGAGGTCTTTGGTGTGTATATAGACTCCTAGTCCTTTGGAATTGTTGTCTTAATATTGTTTTTTAAAACAATGTTAGAAGAGCTATTCAAAACTATGCTAATTCTCCCTTATTATTAGCTGCCTTGCAGAAGATACCAATCTGACAAACTTCTGGATAAAATGGAACCATCTTTCCTCCTAGCATCAGTGGGGAGAAGTCAAGGTAGAATTATTTTGGAAGATCTTTTGTCAGGTTATTAGGAAATCATCAAGGCTCTGCCCACTCTTGTCATTGCCTTGCACGCCATTACTGCTGATTTTGAGAAGGCATCTCTTTTACAGTGACAATTCACAGAGGTGGAGGAGCTCCATTGCCTTCTCAGTGTGCTTGAAAACATGGAGTGTTTGGTGACACTGACAATGTCTCAAGTATCATGGGAATGAAACATTGTTTGTCAAATATCCTTTAATCATGCATAGTTTCTGGAAGATGTTTAGGTAAAAGAAAAAGCTAAGTGTATATTTCCAAAATGGGGACAACGTTGTTGTCAGGTTAACAGGTAGATGGAAGGCAAACATCCGTAGTGACCTGCAGATCAGTTCTAGGAGGTCTCCTTTCTGTCAGACAACTAAGGAACTATGCAAATGTTGTTCATAGGCAAAAGCCATTCCCTGGTGTAAGATTTTACTGAAGAAGATTTCTCCTCTGCAGATGCATGCCTTTACATTCCAAATCTCAAATTTTTCACAATTTTCAGTTCTTCTGTACCAATGTTTCCTGTGTTTCCTAGTCACAGATAAGTTTTGACATTCTTTGTCAGTACAGAAATGCCATAAGACATACTAGGCACACAATTTTCTGGCCAAACATCTTACAGAAATATTAGTTACTTTCCTAATAATTAACTGAGGTATTAAACTTTCTCCTTGGGCATGTAGTTTTTAATATACTGTTGTCAATGTATTGCCTAACAAATTAGAGGTCAAATGTGTTTTACTACATATGCTACTGTGGATGGTGCTCATGGTTTGTTAACAGCTCTGGACCAAGCCTACCCTCTATGAGAATCAGCTACTATAAATTGAACTTGAATTTGCCATGGATGCCCCCTCACCTCACCTTGGAGAGACAATGTGACTGCATATACCTGCTACACCTCATAAAGATTGTACCCTAAAGCCTGTGACACCCTACAGAATTTTACTGCCCTGAAATTTTACAGAATAACAGAGGATTATATATAAGGAAGTTGAAAGCCAAATGGCATTAACTCCCAAGTTGTTTGAATGCCAGGAAAGCAGATGCATGTTGAATTACAAAATCTGTGAAAGGGGAAGTATTTTTGCACAGAAGGATATCGTGACACAGTCACTTTATAGATGATCCTCACTGCCCATGATGCAATGGTAAAGGGGGACAAAGGAAATTAAGGATCAGTGGGGGGACAAGGGAAATTAGGAATATACATACTCATACTAATGCCAGATGTTATTCTTATTTCTCTTATATCCTGAATTAGTGACATTAATCAGACCTTGGAAATGCCTGATTTTTGTTTGCCAGTCCATAGAGAAAAGGAACTGCTAATTTTACTTTTATAGACTGTAGTTGCAATGATTTGCCTCATCATGTATAAGTGAATTCACATGATGTTTTGAGGTAATGGGTCATTTCAGTAATTTATACTGTGGGTTTTGTTCACTTTTGCACTTAATAAAACTATATTTATCTTCTCCACATCTATGGCTTCTTTTTTTGCTGTAGCTAAACAAGAAATATAATGAATAAATGTTTTTAAGGTTGCTTATAGAATCACTGATATGTATTAGCAAAAGCAGATTTAATATAAAAGTGAAAGGAAGAAAAAGTTCATTGCCAAAGCTCACTCTACAATTTAGTGGATGGCTAAAGCGCAGAGAAAAAAAATCAGACTAAAACCTAAAATCAATCAATCCAAAAGTCAACCCAAAAATTATCCATGAGGAGGCTGTAGGGGGAGTGGGGGGAAGAAAAGAGTTAGGGTAAGGATAAAAAGGAATAAGGAAGACCCTCCCATTTAGGCACAAGGTTCAGAGCCACAGCTAAACTGAGCCAGTCTTGACCAACAGTTTTGGCCTAAAGGTTTAAGAGCACTTAATTGATAGCTTAAGTTAAACAATTTAACAAAGAATTAATATAGCATACATATTTAAGTATTTTAGGAGAGCAACATTCATAGTACATTTACTATAACATATTCACACTTGCTTGCACGCAGACCTAGAGAAGTATTTCTCAGGTATCCCTTGAAAAGTGCCCCTCAAATTCAGTGAAGTGCTCCCATCAGACAATTTTGGATATTCTCAGTGGACAAAGGGCTGAGCCTCGAGCAGTGGGGGTGTCAGCCCAGGTTCTGTTGTTGTCTGGTGATTCTCCAAGTATAACAAAGTTGAGATTCCCAGAATCTGTTGAAGCAGACACTCCCGTGTGTGCAGGGCAAGGTTAGTGTTCACTGGATATCTTAGACCTTAAGGATACATAGTACCCTGTGTAAGGGTACATAGTTGATTTATGCAAAATATTAATGCAGAATTTTATGTTTCACATTCAGAGTTCAGTAGATTGATTCCTCAGGTAATTAAAAATGGTTAGAGATTAACAGTTATGAAGATAGATGTGTGTTTCTGGCCTGGAAGATTACTCTAAAACTGTGGTTTTATATTGAAAAGAACCTTTTCTATCTTGATTTCTCAGAGAAAGTGAAAAAGTTGTTTTCTTTTTAGAGGCAACTTGGTCTTGCTTGCAGACTTTAAGAATGTTCAAAACATTGCCTTTCCTAATGAGATGCTTGTGATATACTTGAAAAGCAATCAATATTTTGAAAAAGCAAATGTGATTGCATTTTTGGGAAATTATTTTCTGAAGTGGAATTAGATTGTGTGTCTGGGTGAAGCAGCAGTTACCAAGCTTTCTGCAGTATCCACAGTTTACAGCTTCCTGTAGTTCAGCAATCCAAATTTTCTGAATTTCAGTGAAAGCAGCTGCAAATAGGGCACAATAGTATTTTTTGTTTGTTTGTTTTGTCAGCTAAATATATAAAAAAGTAATCACAGGGTTTTGTCTTTTATTGTCTGATCTCCCATCTGGCCTCTTCTGTTAAGAAGTAGTGTGTAATTCAGCAAGACAGTCCAGTGTAATATACTTTTTTCTTGTAAACTATTAAATACAAAAATAATAGAGTTCAGTACATTGATGCCTTAGGGTATTTCTTAAAGACAATAAAATAGATTTATGGGTTATTGCTGTATTGCTTTCAACCACTACCATAACTAAGCCAATTTCAGTGGTGTGCTGGAGACCTTATTCTACTATAATGTTACAAAACTCTTTTCTGTTCATTGCTGGAAAATTGTAGCTGTTTTAGGGGTTTTGACTAAGGTGAAGGAATGCTCCATAAGAGGTTCCAAAACTCCTTGTAATGATGTACAAACCCAACTTTTTAGAAAAAGTTGGGCAAATTCAGAAGTAACTGTGTCTAGTCTTGAAGAGCAGGCAGTACATACTAGGAATTATCTGGATATCACTAGCAAAAAGATCTCTTGAGGACTTCATTACGACACTTCATTATGAGACCTCCTCTTTCAGGAAACTTGAAAGTAAATATTTAGCTCTCAGCTGTGATAGCAATGTCCCTATTTGTGCATATTGGGTTGATAAGCCATACATTAAGCATATTTATTTATGTAATACATAAGGAAGATACTGGCTTTATGGATCAGCAACAAAAATTAATCTACAAGGAAGGAACTTGTACACTGGAAATGAAAACTTGTGATAATCTCAGGAGTGTCTCCAGCTTCCAGCATGATGAAGGAAAGACAAATAATGAATTGCTTCCAATGAAACAAGACCTTGAGACCTGTGAGGCAGAGCTATTAAGGATCAGCAGGGGAACCATGCAAAGGATCCTGGAAGAGTTTAAGTGCTAGCTTGGTAAAATGGCCAGGGAAAAGAATAGGAGCATTTTTACCAAATGCATACAGGAAAAGAAAAGCACTAGAAAGAAGAGCTGTTCAAGCTAAGGAATGATATGCATACAAGGATGTCTACTTGAATAAATGTATAATGGGCATTAAAGCCATTATAAGAGTAAGGTCTCCTGTGATAGTAAAGGAGAAACTACTACTACTCTGACCTACTTTTAAGCTGAAGTACAGTAAGTTACTAAAAGAAAATGAAAAATTCAGTGGTGGTCATCTCTGTCAGGTTTATGTTTCTTGGCTTGAAGTAAGCAGGCTGAACTACCATGGAAATCAAGAAGGAATTGTCATGGAATTTGAGGTGCTAGACAATCTTTTCTAATTAACTGCTAAGAATTGTGAGAATTTGCTTTGCTATTTCTCTGTTGGCATGTGGCTATTCAGTTATTAGTATATTCAAAGTACCTCTGTGGCTCTAGATATGTTAGTCCCTGATGCCCGAGGCAGAATTCACTGTAATGCAGCAAATTGATGGTAAGTAACACCAACTTCCTTTATTTCACAATCACCCACAAGTTCCAGAAACCACCTGTGATGGTATGTTATTTCAAAAGGTACATAAACTAGTACAAAATAGACAAAGTTCATATTTAGATATTGTTCAGACACCTCCTTCAACAGCAGAATCAGCACCACTGACTCAGTGCAGAAGATAATTGGAGTGGAAAATTTCTTACCTACTAGGTGTTAACCATAGCAGGGCAGAGGAGGAGGTAATGTGTAAATGTGTCAAGCCAGAAAAGTGTCATAATAGTACTAAAATAGTAAAAAAACTAATCCTCTCAGCACTGTAAGTCTACACTGCATACACACCAAGATGGTACATTTTCCCCACTTGAGCAGAAGTGAGATGGACAAGGTAAGATAAAGCCCCCAAACTTGACTTTCCACAGGGGTGGGGATGTAAAATTTTCTGGAGATATAGCATAAAATGTGCTAAATTTTAGCAGAGTGGGAGGGTAAGTGAGTAAAAGGCAAGAGAGGGTGGGGAGAGAGTGGAAGCAGGGAGAATATTCTGGAGTGGTCCTTTACCCTCTTCTTTATGCACTTTGCCTTGCAGTCAAAGAGAAATACGAACCTTGGAAGTGCAAATGTGTAAGGCTGCTTTTTTACTGTCTATATTATTTTTGCAGAAGACAAAAGGGTGAATTGGAGAAGAGGTTTAGCCAAATATTTGGTATTATTATTTACAAAATTCTCATCCAGTGTGGTAACCAGTATGACATACCACTTAGACTTCTGGTAGTGTGGCTTTCAAAACTATATGTGACTGGTGCTCCTATTGTATTTCTAAAATGTATTTCTAATATAATTGTTGGACTGTTATGCTTAATTTTTGATTGTGGTAAGCCTTATTACTTGGAAACTACAACAATTTACACTTAAAATTAATGAAGGATATTTTATGTCTTTAAGATGCATCTCCATGAAAGAACCATTTTTTTTCTGATAATCTGAGTTGGAAAGAAGAAAGGCTTTGAATTCAGCTGTGTTGCACTCTGTAATTCCTTTAAGTGAAGAGGGAACAAAAGACTTTTTTTTTTTCTATCTGTCAGGACACCTTCAAAAGCTTAATTCTTTATACTGAAATTTCTAGACATAAATGGAAGCCTTTTGTAATTTATAAATCAAACACGTATTTTGCAATAGGGCAAAACATTGACTATAGTTTAGGGGACAATCACCAAGGCTGATCATCAGTGGGCTCAGGTCTGGAATAAGCAGAAAGCTAAAAATGTGGTGGAAGCTGAGAATACAAATCCTTTATCTCCAAATGCTCAGAACCCAACAGAATCAAGCATTAATATTGGTCATTGCATAAAGGAATGTGCATAAACAGAGGCAAAATTGAAATCCCCTGCTTTGAGACAAACAGCATTTTTAACCTTCTTGTGGCAATATGCAGTAAAAAATAAATAACTTCACACAAGAAAAGAAAACCAAGTCCTACTGTTCTTGAAATAAGTCTGTTGCGAACTGATGGACAAATATTTACATATCCTCTATTGGAATAGGGATCATTGGGATCTGAATTGATGGCAAAGTGGTCTCACATGCTTTTATGTAGCTTGGGGCACTCTGCAGTCAGTTTTTTATGGGTTTTACATCCAAGCAGGAAGCCTGAAAGAGGGGCTGGACTGTGTGGGACTATGTATGCTGAAGTGCTCTGCCTTCTTGCAGGTCCAAGAGGGGCAAGTCACAGATGGCTCTAATTCTTCAGGGCTTGTGTTCCCTCTCTGCCAAGGCTGTGTTTGGCTAACTAGTGAGGCTGAGCTAGGAGGACACAGGAGGAAACAGTGCCCCCATGTAGCTCCCACTTACAGTGGGTGTGGAAAGTAGCTGAGGACATTAATGGTAAGGAGAACTCAAGTCTTAATGTGAGTATTATTGTGTATTGAATAATCTTGTAGATCTCAGATAGTACAGATTTTTGTGAACTGTTTAAAAGCAGCATTTGGAAAAAGAAAAAAAAAGGAAACAGTACTCTTCTTAAATGAAGCAAACTAAAAAAATCCAACACAATTTTGCACACAGTGCAAATAGAAGATTTTAGAACCCAAGAAGCTTTGATCTCTTACTAGGAGGTGTTTCCCCTGTTCTTTTTTACAAGAAAGTGACCCATAAATTTCAACATAATGCAACTAAACTATGAAAGGAAGGGATGATGAGTGAGGTAGAGGAAATTCCTGTAAAGGAAACAAACTCAACACAGTGCACAGCTAGAACTAACCACAATTCTTATCATGTTATGTAGGATGTGCAAGAAAGATCTTGAGATAATTTTTTAAAAATTAAATGTCTTAAGTTCAGATTTTAGCTCTCCCTATCCTGTCTGCTTGAAGGTGAGTTCATTTTATTGCCTTTGAATGTGCATTTTAAAATAAATTTGCTTTAACTGCTTGGTCAGACAAACAGTAATGTCTTAGTAAGTAGCTTCATTAAATATCCTTTTCAATTTTGTAGACATGGTAAAGCTTTTTTCATCTGCTGTGTGGCTGTTACTAATCTTAGTCCTAGAATCAGATTATGCTTGCCCTTCCATTGAATGCAAGACACAGGAATTGATAGCTTGATGGTGAAGTGATTTTCATCAGAATAAGAATTGTGTTATGGAAGGATTGTGGTATGCCACTCTTTACTAGACTTCAGAGATATCCTGAAACTTGGCACAGCTCTCAAGAAACTGATTTTGATTTTTTTGCTTATATTTTATGTAAAAAGCTGAAGAAGAAAAAGAAGAGGCTGAAAGGAGACCTCATCACAGTGTACAACTAATCTCTTCTCTGTGGTGACCAGTGACAGGATCTGGGGAAGTGGCCTGAAGTTGTGTCAGGGGAAGTTTTGGGCTGCATCTTAAAAAAAGGTTCTTCATCCAGAGGGTGGCTGGGCACAGAAATGGGCTCCCCAGGGATGTGGTCGCAGCACCAAGCCTGACAGAGTTCCAAAAGGGCTGGGAGTTGGACTCGATGATCCTTATAGGTCCCTTCCAACTCAGCTTATTCTATGATACTGTGGAAACTCTCTGATATAGAAATTTACTCATTTTTTTCTAACAGTCCTTTAGGAATTGAAACATAGCTAATGTATTACAATTCCTATTTTTCACTTGCATTCTTTTAGCACAAGAAATTATGTGAAGATCACATTAATTTCCTTATATACAATACTTTTCAATTAAGTAGCACCCTAAATCCCTAGACTAAGAATATTATAATATGGTTTTGTACATGGCAGGAGAAGGTGGAGAGACTTTTGATAACAAGTTGCCTGGAGTAGAGTCCTTTCTTTCTCTGGTAGATACTGATAAAGACAAATCAGTCCTTGAGTAAACTGAGTCACCAAACCACCTGGAGTGCAAATGTACCTGAATGATGATTGCTGTCTGCTCCTGCTGTGAATTTCCCTGTTCTTGTCAAGCACACTTGCAAGATGACAATTATTAATTTCACATCCTACTATACTTTTTAAACTATAAAAATGCAATGAGTACAAGATTCTCTAATAAAAATGTTATCAGTTAGCAAAAAAACCAAAACCAAAACCAAAACCAAAACCAAAAAATCCCCAAAATGACAGCAGTGTATTTTCCCATGCCTAGCTAAAGACAACAGAAAAATTGAAAAGATTGCTAACCAAAGGTGTAACATTCATTAGTCAACCTTCCCTTTAGCACTTCTTTCCCATCTGTGGTGACCTTTTGGAGCTTAAAGAAGGTATCATTAGTATGGCAGCAAATTGCAGAACAAAGAGATTATACATCACTGGCATTATTAAATGCTTTGTGAACAGTCACTTCATGCAGTTTCACTACACGTGGCCTGTATGTCCCCAGTTACACACACATGGGAAGTTGGGAAGTAAACACTCCCACTGCTTATCTTGTTCCAGGTCAGATGCTTTTCAAATAGCTTCTGGTGGCTTAACAGAGCCACAGGTGGCTTAAAGAGTCACCAGGAAGGACCAGAGCTGTCACAGGAGAGAGACTGGACCATTTACCTGGGGTCAAGAGAGAGTGGAGTGCAGAGGACAGAGAAATACATAATAGAATCATAGAATAATCTGAGTTGGAAGGGACCTATCAGGATCATTGAGTCCAACTCCTGGCTCTACACAGGACACCCCAAGAATCACACCATGTGCCTGAGACTGTTGTCTGAACATTTCTGGAACTCTGTCAGGCTTGGTGCTGTGACCACTTCCCTGGGGAACCTGTTCCAGTGTCCAACCACCCTCTGAGTAAAGAAAAATTTCCTCATATCCAATCTGAACTGCCCCTGACACAGCTTCATGCTGTCTCCTCAAGTCATGTCACTGGTCACAAGAATGAAGTGCTTGCTCTGCTTTTGACAACAGCAACACCTGCTCACCTGCTCAAGGACTATAGCACTGAACCACCAAAAAGGCCCCTGGATCTTGATTGCTACTGGCACCAGCATGCCTTTGACATGTAGGCTGTTGGATGACATAACTCAAAACACCATTCTTGGTTTTATACAGAATTAACATGGCTAGAGATACAGCCTCAGTGAATACCTTGAGCGAGGTCTTCACAGTTGTCATAAACCCAGATTCGAGAGTCAGGATCTGTTGATCTTTTATCAGTGGATAAAAAAGTTGGATAAACTTATGGAGGGCTTTTTCCCAGTGCTGGTAGCAAACTCAATTCATTGAGACATACATAGAGACTCAGAGTTTCAGGATGATTTTAAAAAAATATGTGGGTTGATGACAGTTGGCAGCCAACCTGTAACAGAGCACCAGGATGGGGTGAGACAAATGAGTTAACGTACTTCCTGTGGCCTCTGAGCATAAAAAATAGATAATTCCATTCACTTGCAAGGAATAGAGACATTCTGAAGAGAATGGTGACTAAAAGTTCTCCTCTCTACACAAAACAGCTGCCTGGAAAAGTGCAGCGTGGGAGTTCTCATCACCTCTCTCTAGCTCAGTGTGCACTGGATGCTCTGTCGATGTTAAGCAGTATGAGTAGTATCTGATTTGCATGAGGTGCCAAGAGACAAGGGATTAACCTTTGCCCAACCTCTCTGCTTTTCCTTTGGGCTGACTCAGTGCCTCTCTGGCACTGCAAATGCAGAGTCACTCTATGGCCAAAGGAAAGAAAAAAAATCCCTTGAGGGCTCTGTTGCACAATGCACAGCTGTGCAAATGGAACAACAGCAAAGTACTTTGCTCCTGAACCAGGCAGTGTGCCTTTACTCCTGGAGCAGACACTGCAGATGTGTCAGTCATAGACATTGGGTATGTCCTTACTAAATACCCAGATTAAGCCATGGCTGTTGAATATGCACACTGGGCAGCATGCGGATGAGAAGGCTATGGGATGCAGATCAGACTTCTTAGTGGAAGAGGCAAAACATATCAATATGGTTTGGGGTTTCACCTTGTACAGGGTACTGTCATATGGGAGTCTGGATGCATCTGAGTGCTTTGTGAACCTGCTCCGAATCCCCTGGGTGTTCCCAGTCTCAGTTTACAGAGAGCAGCCTGCAGAGCTGGTCCCTTATGCTGGTGTGGGTGTTACCCTTCTCAGCAGGGCTGTTCAAGCACAGCATTGTAGTACGAAAGTAAGGCCTGATGCTGTACACACAGGCACGCCACGGTGGAGGAGAAGGGGCTTTAGGTTGCTCTGCTGGCCCTAGTAGACATGCTAAGTATGCTCATTTTGGCTGGTAACAAAGCCCAGTAGGAGCATGTCTCTTGAGGGAAAGAGAGAACCAAACACATGTGCCCATACAGGACATGCTTTGAGGGCTTTACTTCTGCATGGTTCTCCAGTCACATGGACTGGACTCAATGCCATTTGCAGCTGCAGCACATTTTCAGATTTGGTTTAATCCCAAAGGAATATAATCTGAGCCTGTTGACCTTCAAGCTACAACAGCGCTCCATGGATTTTTGGTATGATTTATTCCTGTCTCAGTCTGTTGCTGATAGGCATCATTAGCTGGAGGCTGATGATATTTGATATCTTACCTCTCATCTTAGAGAACATGCTCCTATCAAAGGAGGAAGGATCTGCATTTCCATTCTAGAGGTGGAGTTCTGCATTGTTGTAGTATGACTTGGAAATTCATCTGTAAGCAATTTTATGCAGGTGTATTTAGAGAGACTGTTGCATATTCTTGAGTATTATCCATTCTGTATTTCAGTGAAATAGTATGAACAGGAAAAGTGCTCCAAACCCCATTTTTAAAAAACACAATATGAAGAAAATAATGTTTGCAAAGTTTTACAGAGGTACAATGAAATACACTATTTTATTTGACTCTTATTTACAAAAAAATCTACCCCATTTTCCTCTTTTGCAGAGAGCAAGATGATTCTTAAAGAAAATGTCTCTGAATATCAGCCAAAATTGATAAAGAAAACAATGCTCACTTTGTGCTGGATATTAACAGTATTTGTCAGTGGGGTAGAAGTTAGAGAGATTAATTTGCCAGGTAAGAATATGCTTCAGTGATATTCGGTGTTTGTGGTGCTTTCTGAAAACTTAGAAAAGGAGATCTTAATTTTTCCTTGCTTTTGCACAATGTCCATGCTTGTATCTGACAAATAGCCTTTCTGCAAGCTTCTGAAGTATACAAGCTACCCTAAATTTGATTCAAAAATCAGTTCTGCAGTGAAAAGGATAAAGGTTAAGGAAAGTCTCTGAGGCCTAAATGAAACAAATTAATTGCATCTGTGATTTAGGTCTCCAGTATCTGGTCTAATGAGGAAAGGACTGAGGACAAGGAGGACAAAAGCAGAAAGAGATTGATTTATCAAATTCTTCCACACACACAATATATCTAGAGGATCTTGATCCAATTTAGTGCGCAGAGATAAAATGAAACTGTAAAGAGTTTCCCAGGTGGGCAGATAGGGAACAGATTTCATGACCTCCCTTCTGCTGGGGTGAAATCCTGCCATACTTTCAAAGATCACAGCAGCCTAACTGGCAGGATGGGCATTAGGATGGCTGACCATATCTTTCAGAATTAAAAAAAAAGTGTATTTTTAGAGACAGTTGCTGAAACATAGGAGGGTAAATATTTAAAAGCAGTGAGACAATGATGTTTGTCAATCATACCTTAAATAGGGCATGTGGTGGGCAGGTTCTGCTTCTTCAGGCTTATGTCAGTCCCTTATCCATGAATATGGTGAGATCAAGAACAGCTACATCTGCATTTCTACAGACTTGAGGTTTAGCAGGTTAGCACGCATGCAAAAGTCTGCACATCACAAAAACTCTTCACATTAAGCTTCTGAAAATAGGCCTAAGAAACCTTTGGAACCTTTGAATAAATTTTCAAGAACATTGGCAAATTACATATTTAAGAAAACCTGTTTTTTATTAGTCCATGTGCTGTGCTGATCACATAAAGAAATATTCAACACAAAAAAGATAAAGTTCTATTTTTGTTTCTAATTTTTATTTTTAATTTTTTCACCATGACTCTGCATTTTTTCAGATGGTACTGATATCTTACTGTCCTGCTTTTCAGGATGTTCCCATGTTGAACCTCAAATATGGTATCGTGCAATTAATGGTGAGGAGTTTGTTCTGCAATGTGCTTTACCAGATAAAGATGCTACCAACATTTATAACAGCTCACTTCTAAATCAACATAAGGTGAAATGGTTCTGGCATCAGAAAGATAAAGAGACACTGAAGGACATCAAGGAAAGCTCAAACCTGACTTTCCAAGGGGATGCACTTTGGTTTAAACCAATAAGGGACAGTGCTTCTGGAGTGTACATCTGTAGGATATGGTAAGTAACAGAGCAAAAAAGTAATGGAGTAAAGGAGCAGAAGGTTTCTATTCCTATAGGAGAATTATTGAGAATTAATGGTTTGGCTTGTGTATTAAGTGTTTAACTTTTTTTTTTTTTTTTTTTTTTTTTTAACATCACTCAGGGGAAAAATCCCATGTCTCAAAATGGTTTTGGATGTTCAAACAAAGACAGCAGCAAAATGTTCAGGTTATGACACAAATATTCTATATCTGCTTGCTGGCAATGGGAATTCAATAACCTGTCCTGGGACAAAATGTTACAGCCACATCAAAAAGCAGGATGTGAAATGGTACAAGGTAGGAGTCAGTCTATTGAGTACTGGAAACTGCTGAGTGGAGGTGGAGCTTCAGATCTAGTTAATGTCCATGTGCCATAGTACTTGAACTCTTCTTTGGCAGGCAATGGCAAAGAAACTAAATCCAAAAGTAGACTCTTGGACTGATATATATCAAGTATTTAAGGAAGAGTATTGAAGAAATTTGCCACACCCAAAACATTATTATACAAAACAGAAGCCAAGAAAGGCTTGGTTTCAGTTAAGGAATTTAAGAAATTGAGAATTAAAATAGGCTTTTTACAAAACTGACATGATTGAAATGCAACATTTTAAGTTTTGTTTTGACCTTTCAAATTTTGAAAATATCCAATATACCAAAGAAAACTGGCATTGTTAGACACAAAATTATTTTAAGAATAATGTTTCAAATTCTTCTTTCCAAGAGTCCTATTTTAAATGAAACACTATTCCACTGAACCACTACTGACTTAGTGTTCATAAGGATGGTAATATAGCATCCAAACCTGTATAAAGGAGCAAAAGAAAATGACTAAAATTTTCAATTATGCATTTTCCTGCCTGGTATTATTTACATTATTTTATTCTATCAGGTAGAATTATGATCTAGTCAAAGTTATTCTGCATTTGCTTTAAAATTTTAAATAAGGTTTATCTTTACCTACATCTTGATCTGAAATCCACTGATGTTAAGGAACATCTTCACATTTGCCTTACTGGATATTTTAAGGAACTTGATTTAAGGAAAATTCTTGCTGGTTTTGGTGGAATATGAATATAATAAGCTGAAAAATAGGGGCGCTTTTAAAAAATAGAACATTCCCGTGCTTCTAAAAGTAGTGGCAGTGTTCTCAACCTCAGACCATCAAAACTCATGGTTTACTTCTCATAAAATAACTTTAAAATGTTTTCAAAATTATTTATTTGCAAAAGAAAAAATACCTAGTCCATCAAAAAAGTGGTCCTTTTTGTTTCTCTTTGGTAATAGGAGTTTAATTTAGATTAGTTTTGTGATTCCATATTTTTACATCAACAATTCATTATAAATAATTTTTTAAAAATCAAGGTGTTCCACATATTTTTTAGTGTAAATGAAAAATGTCCTCAGGCTCCTAATATATCCCTTTTTGGGCTTCAGTGAAAAAACTTTGGTTTAGCCCTTATTCCATGAAAATCCTGTCCAAATATATTAAAATATATTTTACTAACAGCAACAACAGCAAGAAAAAATCCCAAACCTTTAATTCTTAGACATTCTTTTCATTAGGATGGTCATCAGATAAAATACAGGAAAAGCAGACCGAGCCTAAAACTTAAGCAGAATGAAATCTACTTGAATCCAACCTATGACAAAGATGCTGGGACATATGTGTGTGATTATACTCTGTCCGAAAACATTATCAAGTGGACAGTGAGAACAGCAGTAACAGTAGAAGTCACTGGTGAGTAATATAATAACCCAGAATAAAACACCTGAAGTATGTTTTCTTTATTATGTTTATTTATGTCTTTTGTTCAGGCTTTTGTTCTGAAAAACCCATAAATTGAATTAGCTACAGGATCATTCAAATCCTCTTCCAAGTATTCAGAGGACATCTTGGGACACCAACTAGAACATCCAATAGTAATAGCACTAGGTCCTGTAGGAAAGTATAAATCTAATCTATATCCTGAACTGTATGGATGCAGTACAGCTGTTTCTGTATGAAAACAGCACAGGACTATTCCTTAGCATCCTGGTGGAAGATAGGCCACTCTGTGAAAGGGAGAACAAAATTTAGGGAGCAAAAGATGTGTGTCAAGTGAGGCAACCTGGTTTTATGGTCTAGTGAAGAAACACTCCTTTGAAGCTTCATGGATATTTTATAATGAGGATATTTTCTGAACTAGGTGATCCATCTTTCCGCAGGTATTTTAAGAATTTGGTTCTAAGAGTTCAAGGGAAAAATGTATCCATCCCATCAGGACAGGAAACCATGTCTTACCAACCTGTGAGAATTCTGTGTGGTGGCTTAAAATACTCTTGCTCTTTCACTCTTCCTTCTGGCTTTATTCCCACAATATTCTCCAGGCAGGCTTGGACAAGCTCTGCTTTTATTCTGATCTGACTGTACTTGACACATTGTCCTTCTCAGTTCTTTTCCCTCATTTCTAGAGCAGTCAGAAAAACTTAAAAGGCACCATATGCATCCTATAACCTTGCAGACTGAGGTGAGACCTTCTTGCAGTGGAGGTCTTCCATGACAGGACCTGAGGGAATGGCCTGGAGTTGTGTCAGGAGAGGTTTAGGGCAGATATTAGAAAAATGCCTTTTACCCAGAGGGTGGTTGGGCACTAGAACAGGCTCCCCAGGGAAGTGGTCACCAGCAGCAAGCCTGACAGAATTCAAGGAGTGTTTGAGCAACACTCTCAGGCACAGGGTGTGACTCTTGGGGACGGTTCTGTGCAGGGCTGGATGCTGAACTCAATCCTGTGGGTCCCTTCCAACTCAGCTCGTTCTGTGACTCTGTGATCTATTTCTCTGCTGTGACCCAGTAAAAAAGAACAAACAAAAACAAACAAAAAAAACCCCAACCAGAATGAAAAGATGTTATGATGCACCATTTCCTGCAGTATGTGACTTTCCTAGAATATCAGAGCTGTGGGTTTTATTCTACTACCCGTGGGTGTCATTATCTGTGCCCTGGCGTGACCTGAGCTTTGAAAACAACATGGCTATTTTGGTACAAGTATCTGTGCTTATGAATGGGGTGTGCATGTGCTCTGTGCTTACTGGGCATGAAAAGAGGTTTGGCAGGGGACTGGTATGAGGATTGCACCCTTCAGGGGGTTTTACAAGGAGGGGGGGGGTTCCTAATTTTTTAATCCTAAATAATTTAAAGCACAGACTAGTTGCTGAGCTTCTCAGCTCGTGTAAGAGTAACTCTGTAAACAAGATAGGAGATGTTTGAGTAGCTATGCAAGTTTTGTTGTCCTTCTCTTGGACTTAGGTGTCTAAATTCCACCTAAATCTTGAAAAATTAAATCTTATTTTTTTTTGTTTTCTACACTGCCAATAACTTTATACTTAATTATATTCTTATTAATTGCAGCAAAAAACACTATTCATCCACCAAACCTTTTGTATCCCAATGGTGTTGTGATCCTCGAAGTAGAAGTTGGTAAGTTTCAATTCCTCTTCTAGAAAAAATGAAAATATTTAAATGAGGTATTGATAAATAATGGCAGATCTTGATAAAGCAAACCAGCATTGCTTTCTAGGCTATTTAAGAGAATAATATTCTGCAGGCATGGTTTTTCTGTGTTCATTTTTTCCAGGCAAACCACTTGAATTGGAATGTCGTGTACAGTTTGGGTTTGAAAGGGTTTCTCCAATGAGGGTAACGTGGATAAGAAACATCGAAGAGAATGTAAATGAGAAATTGAATCAGGAAACAACGTGAGAACCTCCTCCTCCATCCCCCCTAATAGTCTGGTTATTACCACCACAAGCAACTTTAAAAGTCCTTCTATAACAACTTTACTGAATACACTTTATTGAAAAACTTTAGAAGGCTCTTTGCTTTCAGCTAGTGATGCATATGTCCACAAGCAAGGGACAGGCATGTGACTTTCACATACAGAAGCACATATTGATGGCCATACAACCAAGAACTCAAATTCTGCATAATCTTAGCTCTTAAAACTTTAGCTCATAGATGGTTTCAACATAAAGGGTTCCTGCTTGCCTGTCCCTGCCTCAGTTGTTTTCAAGTGTTCTTGTTTCCAGGTATTCTTGAGAGCACAGTCTCTGTTGTGCCTTGCTAGCAATTCACACAATCTGCCTTTGGAAGCTGTCTCTGAGTGGGGAATTAATCACATCATCAAAACAATACTGTGGACATTGAAGGGAGTTTGTGTGACTCAGACACTGGGGTGTTGCAGACCAGGTCTGAGGAGGGCTTGCAGCACTGAATTTCAGGACACTGAATTTTGAGACTCCTCCCTGGTGAGAATTAGCCAGACCCTGCAGAGAAGAAACATGTAGGGGAAAGGTTTCCTGTGAGCTGGGGCAACCCCTGTAAGTCATTACACTTCCCTTTCCTTCCTGTTTTCATTCACTTACGCAGTGTTCAACTTGGGCAAGCAACAGCATAGAGGCAAAACAGGCAAATCTGTCTTTCACCACACAGCCCTGAGTAAATTTTATGGGTAAACTTTCTGTACACTGGGGGAAGCAAAGGCTCTGGTGTCACTGCTAAAATCAAGTTCATAATAGGAGTCATATGGGAAAAAAATAAGTTATGATATCACACACTTAGGAGATAGACTGCAAATTTTCCTAACTTCAGAATGTTTAGATTTGGAATGTTCTTGTTAACAAGTTTTTAGCTGTTTTCATGGGCAGAGTTTCTGTTTATTTTTAAAAATACAGACAAGTGAAATATCCCCAACAGATTTTGGTTGAATCCTTGCCTATGCTCACTCCTACATATCTTGAGGTAGCAGAGGCAGAGCCATGGTCTACTATCATTTTGCAGGGGCATGATGCGAGATGACTTTTGGGATGACCCAGAGATGCTTATACATGTGGCTTTCAGCAACTCAGAAACCCTGGGTATTCTGGAGTGATTGCAGATACAGATCTCTTTTCCATATCCTTCACTCAACCCTGAAGGGATTCCTCAGTTACCTCTTCATTTCCTGTACTTCTGTCCCTTATTTCTGTCTTATTCTGTTTGCCTATCATGTCCTTTTTACCCCAGTGCAAGAGGCTGAGCTGCTCAGTCTTTTGACCAGCTAGTTCTCTCTCTTTTTGAAGTTTTATTTCTCTGCATTTCTTCCAGGTGAATATTTTACATCTTAGAAAACCACAAGTAATTTATAGAAGTAAAGGGGACTATATATTGAAAACTAGGCAAGTGGTAAATATTTTGCTGAGTAGCTGAATTAAGGATAAACCTTCCAGTCCTTAGGCTTATCAAAATATTTTCTTATGATGATAGTTAGTATTTTCTTACCATGTATAAACCAAGAGAAGGTTCCAAACCAGAATACTGCATTACTATTAAAAGTTCAAGATGAATGTTAAGAAGTTGCAAGCTCCTCTGCTTTTGTGTGTAAGACATTAGGAAATTGTGTGAATGAACAGCAAAGGTATCATGCAAATACACATTTTTTTCTCTCTAGTGTCTATCCAAAAGGTTTGAAAGGACACACACTTCTTCATGTTGCAACTTTGAAAGAAGTTACTGAAAAGGACCTCAGAAGCAGCTTCACATGCTTTGCTGAGAATTCAGTAGGGAATGCCACTGCTGTGATCCGGTTGAAAAGAAAGAAGAGAGGTAAAGCTATCAACTGGTGACTATTTACCCCTGAAGACAAATTTTCATTTACTCTACTGCTACTAATTAATTCTCCATTGACACTGGCTTTTAGCCAGCATCAGAAGTTTCTTGAACATGAGTGGGAAAAGTCTGATTTGTTAGATGTCTTGAAAGCCACAGTATTTTGAGGATTACTCAGAAGAACAGGGCTATCTGGGGACTTACTGCAGGCAGGTGAGCCAAGTGGAAGTTAGAGAGTAACTGGAAAGAAGAAGAGGAGAGTGCAATCTCTGAACATTAATAGGCAATCTACTAAACTGAAGCAGAGAGGCTGCTGAAAGCAACAGAATTCCCTGATTTTCATAGGATAATTCTGTTTATTTTCCCAGTCGTTAGAGTGCATGTTTCTGAGAAGTTACCATAACTGATATGATTGTGGCAGTCTTTCAAGGCCCAAACCAGAATCAGTGTGGAAATTAAAGTGTTAACCATAGTTCAGAGTGGAGGTTCATCACTAGGGTGCAACAGGAAGCTGCCAGAAGCGCACTGTGTGCAGCTGTGTCTGCTCTGATGCAGCTTTTCCATCTCAGGTGATGGCTATTTTCAGCATTGCTGAGCATAGAAACTATTTTCTCTGTGCACTTTGTCATAGATTGGTTTTTCATACCACCAAAGAGATGCCATGATAAAAAGGTCACTGATGGTAGACTGAAACTGTGTTGAGGTTTGTGGCTACATGAGATCTTGACTTCCCTAGATTTTGCCAGAAGGACAGGAAAAAAAGATTCTGTAAGATGGTTTGTCCCCATTTCTGGACGGAATTTTTATCTAAGTGTCAATATTATTTTGGAAACTTGAGTTATGATAGACTCTTTTCTCTCTGCAGTGTTGTTCTTATATGTACTATGCAGTGTCATTTCTACTCTATTTGCATTTGTTTTGTGCACTGTCTTTATTTACCAGCACTGGATTGAAATAGTGCTGATGTATCGAAGTTATCTGGTCCACAACAAAAGTACAGAAGGTAAGAAACCTTGTATAATATTAATTTGTTCTAGTTTTTCTACTGCCTTTTGCCATGTGGGATAATCTGATATGAATTACTCATTTAATTAAGTTATTTAAATGAGCCTGTTCTTTTTGAGCCAGTACAAAGTCTATTAAACCTTGCAAGATGCTCAGTGAATGCAGATGGAAAAAAGGTCAGATAGTGTGAAAGAAATATCTAACACCAACAGAAACGCCAGTTAGACTTTTACCTTAATTTACCCATAGAAGATAAGAGTAGGAAGTTGAATTTTGGCAGTCCGTGTGCAAGGAATAATTTAGCATCTCCAACATTTTAAAATCTTTCTCTGAAAAAACATTTTAAAGGCATAACAAAGTAAAGGATTCCAGGGTTTATTGTATTTTTCACTTAAAGCCAACAAGTTTCTCAGAGGAATAAACACAAGAGAGAAATAAGATGATAAAGGCCACCAACTGGCAAATGAATGCTTGGGAAATATTCATATTTCCTAAAATCTTTGGAAACCACTTCACATTTGGACCAGAGTGATTAACTTTTGATTCTTCAAGTCTTAATAGTAGCACTGCCCCATTACCTCAGCTAAAACAGGCCCCTGAAGGAATCACTATGACTACATCAAAGAACTTAATGTATGATTTTCTTAAATGTGTTGAAAGAATTCTGATAGTTTGTGCCTGAGAAAATTTTTCTAAAAATCCTTGCATCTTGATGCAGTTTGAGGTAGGGATGTCTGTTTTTATGTTTGTAAATGTATCTCATATGTGAGTGTGAAACAACTATATCTAGATACCTCTAAGTACATGCAGAATTGGAAAATTATCTGCCCTTCTGGAAAGCATTTTTACAAGCACTAAAGCATTTGGCAAAGGCAATTTGGAAAATCACTCAAAATTTCCCCTCTATCTGGTAACAAAGTGATTTAAGAACCTGTGGAAAGTCCCTTTAGAGCACACCCTGCATGTCAGCAGGACAGACACAGACCTGCTTGTGCACTCAAGCTGAAGACACCGTTGGGTTTCACCATGACAGCCCCTGTCCCCTGCCTGTCCCCTGCTTCTCAGGTGCCTTCTGCACACAGCTCCATCTGCAGTACGGGGGTGTGGGGGTGTGCAGACCAATCATGCATACCCAGAGAGTTTTCTGCCCAAGGGAAATGTGTTCTCACCTGCAGGATTATATGTCCTTCTCACTTCATGGATGCATATCAAAGTCACCTGAGGACTGAAAGGACTTGCTCACACAGCAGCAAAGCAGCAGTTATGACTTGATTTTGCTGTTTCTTCCTTTGTATAATTTTTTCTCCTGTGTCCTTCTTAGCACAGAATCAGACAATTGAATAATCCTACAAGACTGGAAGGTACCCTGGGCACCTGCTCAAAGCAGAGCCAACCTAGGTTGTGCAGAACCTTATGGAGAGAGAAACCACAACCCCTCTGGGATTATTTTGCCTCCTTAGCTAATTCAAATATACCTCAAAACTCCTGTCTTCTTCCACATGTATGAAGAAATACTGCAGGAGATTTGATACTAACATTTTTAGAACACGTATGCCATCACTTTGCTTAAATTAGGTATTCTTTATTTCCTACACTTCCAGCACCTTAAGTACACTACCAAAAGTTCCTCAGCTTGTAATTTTCTTGTGCAATTATGTGAAAATACGGCCTAATGGTGCTTATTGTGTATTTATTTTTAGCTTACCACTGTAATAGTAATGTTATAAAGGCATGTGTTAGTGGTTGTGGTCTAATAAGATTGCAGTGACCTCTGCGGGTGAAATGAGGAATACCTGGCTTGTAGTGCAAGTTAGTGTTATTTAAAATCTGTTTTCAAGGGAGCTTCAATTTAAAATGTAAATGAAGTTCATCAAAACCAATCTAGTGAACCTTTGGCCCACCTTTAATTTCCACATTAATCCTGTGTGCCTACTGCTGCTGATTCACTCTTGTGGGCCCAAATTGGCTCAGCTTGGCAGAAAAATAACTCAGCAAAAGACAGTGTGTAACCAGCAAAGGGAATCATCTCCCCCTGTTATCACAAAAGCTTCAGCACCAGTAGAAGGATGTGATTGAAAGTGTGTCTGGGAGCAGAGGGGAGGAGCAGAGGTGCAATATGTGTTGTCTGATCACATTCTTGGCCTCCAGACCTGCACACCTCTATTTTCTTTTGACGACATACCTTCTGCTATGTGCTGGTTCTGAATTTAAGTGTTGAGCCCAAGCTCAGCCATGTTACTTTTCTGAATTTGCTTTATATACAGGCTTTTCTAGATCCTGTAGGAACTTGGTGACTCTAGCTTGTGTCTGTGGTCCTAATCTCACATCTAGGGATAGAAATCGGGAGGTTAACACCAAGGCACATGGGTCATGACACTCAGCACTTAGGTCTCTGTACTGCTTGTGGGTGTCTCAGCTCCCAGGCAGCCAAGCTGAAGGTGCAGTCAATGTGGTGGAATCCACAGAGCCTCTCAGCTCACCCTGCAGCAGCACCCTGAAACACATGGGAATTTCTTTCTGGTTCCTATTCATTATATTGTCATATGATACAATTCAGCTAATTGAACATAGGTGTCTGATGGTATTTGGGCTGCCGGACAATGTCCTGCCATTCTAAAATGCTTGAGTCTCCAATACTTCCCCTGTCAAATCTGGCAGTCTTAGGATAACTTAAATATCCTCAAGTAACTGGGAAACTGGACTGGGTCTACTGTGCCTTTTGCTTTCACCAGAAATGATTTTATTTTACATTCCTTCTCCCTCAAGTGTATTCAAAGTTTATTCAGCAGATAAATTTTGCTTTTGCCTTGTAGTTAAGAATGCACCTAACTCAAGACATTGGTGCCAGGGTGATCAAAGCTAAGAAAAATTCTTTACCTATGTTTCATCTGCACTGTGCAAACATTATTTTAAGGAGACTTAAAGTTCAATAACTAGTCAGTACTTGGTGTCTGAACTGATATTTTGATCAGACTTAGCCTTTGCTCCTTAACAGAGTCTCTCTGTTTATAAGCATAACAGTGTATGAAAGCAGCATAGTTTTGCAAGCAACTAATATTCAATAACATTTTTCCTTTAAGCTTTATTGTATTTCAAAATAAGATTGGTCACTGACAAGTTTTTTTAATTAGCATTGGGCAAATTAGAGAAAAGATGGGGAATCATTCCCTACCACATAGCTTTTGCCTGGAAAGGACTAAACCTTTAAAATACATTGCACTAAACATCTCTAGCTTGCTTGTTTGCTTTGGTAGCATATGTCTACAAAATTTGCAAGACAGTGAGACAGCAAGGTTGTCTTTGGTGACTGGATATCTGTAATCCAGGAATACGTCATAATTTTAGGTTTGTGTTGTGCTTACTTAAACAGATATAAATGGAAACAGGGCATTAAGAAAGAAGATGAATGCTTCAGCCAGACTTGATAATGTATATAGTCATTTACTTATTATTTATTTATTTATTTATTTATTTATTTTAGATGGCAAAGAATTTGATGCATTTGTATCATATGCAAAACTAAACTCTTCTGAAAGTGACTCTGCTTTAATTAGTGAGGAAAAATTTGCCCTGGAGCTTCTTCCAGATATGCTAGAAAACAAATATGGATACAAGTTATGTATTCTTGAAAGAGATATTCTTCCAGGAGGAGGTAAGTTCCTTAGGCATGGTAAAAAATCTTCAGTTTTTTATAAAATTGTGTTTCACTTAAAAAAAAAAAACCAAAACCAACTTTTTCCACCAGAGCAACAAATTGTATAATTAGGTAGTTGAATTTATGTTCAAATCTCATAATGTTTTGATCTTTGTGTCTGGTCCCTGTGCCTGATGCATACATACTTTGGAGTGAGGTCGCTGTGAGCTACTAGGCTGAGACAAGGCTTCTTGTGAAAGAATTTCTTTGTAAGCAGACTCCTTTCCCTGGAAAGAAGACTTCAACTATTTCAGTAGTTACTTTCTGAGCAACTTTAGCCAGTGCTACCTCAGTAATTAGAAAGCCCTGTGGGAGAGATGAAGGCAAGTCCAAGTGTCCCTTGTTGAAGTGTGCTGAGGTCTCAGCTGTGTCCTTCATGTCCTGAGCAGAAAGTTGCGTTCCTCAGTTGTATAAGAGCAGCCATGGTACCCTCTGATAGCAAACTTATTTCTAGGTGTTGTATGATTAGTCAGCATTCCTATTGTCTTTCCTTATTTCTGGGTTTTATCTATTGATAAAAGAGCTGGTAAGATAAAAACCCCTTTGAAGAATGCAGTAACTCTCACCATTTCCTCTCCAGCATACACAGATGAAGTTGTCACTGCTATTAAACAAAGCAGACGGGTAATAATTATTTTGAGCCCAGCCTATGTCAGTGGACCAAGCATCTTTGAACTGCAGGCAGCGGTGAACTGTGCATTGGAAGATAAAGGGATCAAACTGGTATTAATAAAATTCCAGGATTTCAAAGAGCCAGAGGCTTTGCCTCCAGTAGTGAAGAAAGCACTTCGGATTTTACCAGTCATTACCTGGAAGTCTTCCATTTCTGCTGCTCCACGCAAGAAGTTCTGGAAATACATGCGTTACCACATGCCAGTGAAAACTACTAAGAGGATGGAAAATTTCAGCCTCAAGGGCTTCTCCCAAAGGTTATTCAGACTGGTATAGATATTTCACAGGGAGAGGACATCAGGCTCAGGAGTGGTAACATGATTGTCAAGGACCTTTTCTGTATCATCTGACTGCTGCCAGCTGTCACTACAGCCAGCTGTCACTACAGCCACCAGTAACTCCCTCTGAAACAGTCAGAAGCACTGAAGTGTGACAGTGCCCAGGAAAACTGTGCCACTGCCTGCAACTGTAAATGTGAGCCATCTTTCATAAATTAATATTTTATTACCATTTTTATTATATTTATTACACCATTTTGCTCTGATTTTGAGACATACAATGTTCTTTGCACTGCATTCATTTCTGGAACATTTTAACTCTTGCTTTCTAGAAAAAGATTTTAAAAAGGGAACTCCAGAGGAAGCCTGCAGTTTAATTTTCTGATGCAGTCCAGTGGGACATACCCAAATTCTTCAAATGAGTTACCTCCTCCAATGGGAACACCAAGAAAATACCATGAGAGACTCCTATAGTTGGGTATGCCAAAGGGATTCAGAAAAGAAGGACCACTGTGTAGCTTATCCCAGGCATCTCCATCCTTCCTTCAATGAGGGGAAGAATTCAACCACCCATAAATCAGTTCACACTCAGGGATACCTGCATCTGATCATAGCTGATCCTGTCTGGTGCTGGTCACTCAATGTCCACTGAATCTGTTGGCATTATGGGTGTGTTGCAGTTGTAAATCTAAGCCCTGATTGGCACAGCTGGTAGACTTCCAGGGACTCTAAATCTTTCCCTTGCAGTCCTCTGGCTGCCAACTCTCCAGAGTTCATACCACTTATTCTCAAACCATCTTGCATTCTGTCTGTAGCTGAGTGAAATGCAATGGTCAGTATTGAGCAATCTGAGAGGTATAGCCTCTTCTCTGTTGTTCTGCTTACTTAATTTGGCCTTCAAGTTAACAAATCTTTGTTTTATAATGCTACCTGAATATCTCATCTGCCAGATTTCCTACTGGAAAGGGATTCCAAGAAATACTACTGTTAACTGGATCAGTACACTGGAAAAAAGAACTCTTTTGCAAGCAGGCTGAGCTTTATCTACCTAATGCTATACTGGGTTCCAAGTTTTTGTGGGAGGACTGATGGTGCTGTGAGGCTGACAGAAGATAGTACTTTGTGTAGAAGCAGAACATCAAAGGGCATCACTGGCTGTACTGTGGAGTTTTAACTTTTTTTGTTAGGGTCAGGATTAAATGCATGAGATGATATTTTTTTGTTTGGATTAAGATGTTTATTAATTTTTATTTATATTACAGCCACATAAACTGTGAGTTTTACAGTACTTTAATAAACTAAAAAATGGAGCCTCAAGTGAAAGTATTTCTCACTTTACAAGGTTTTTAAAGGATAAACTGTCTAATTAAGAAATGATACTTAAATTATTTTTAATTTTAACTAAATAATGAACTACTCATGGCTCATAATGCAAACTTTTTAATTTAATTGCACAATACCACCCAAACACATGAAGAAGGAGGTGAAGAAGAAGGATTAGTTTCTGCTCTAAAATTTTATTTTGTTTTATATACATTATTCTAAAACTTTAAACTCTAAGTTTTCTATTATGGGATATTACACACTTCTATTCAAATTGCACACTTATAATTTTAGTTCTATCATTTAATTTTGGAAGCTTTCTCTACAGCATCAAGTTAAATGTACTGTTCTTTTGGAGGTCAGTGTCTCTCAGCACAGAAAGTCCAAAATTCTCAGTGACTAGAGTTCAAACACTGCACTACTGAGAATTTTGACACTGCAGTTGCACCTGTATTGGTGATCTGGTTGAGATAATTTTGAGATAATAAAAATTTGCATTTTGATGCAAATTTCCCACTTGTCACCACTGAGAATTTTGATACTGCAGTTGCACCTGTATTGGCAATTTGTTTGATATAATTTTGAGATAATCAAATTTTGCATTTTGATGCAAATTTCCCACTTTTCACCACGTCACCTTTTGCTTTGCATTTTAGACCATTGCAGTTGCACACACTGGATCCCTTCCTCAGAAAGTCAAGTGGAAGATATTCTCCACCCATGAAGGGACATTCAGTCTGTGGGGCCAGCTGGTTTGAAGGAATCCCCTCCCAGGCACATGCAGAATGGTTTCAGGGTCCTCAGAATTAGCTGTTTTGGGGTATCACAACTGTTCTCCCCACCCACCCTGTCTGCACTGTTTTCTAACGGAGTCAAATCATTGAATAATTTGAATAATTTGTCAGTAAATTAAATGCATTCAGTTCTAAGATAAGTAATACAGGTTTTAGATGCTTCTCATCAACAGCACTATGTTTGCACACCCTGTTATCCTGACACATGACACTAAACATGGTAGTTCTCGTGGAGGAGAAAATATTCTGGCATTTTAAAAAAACTATCCATAAGAGGATAATGTATTCACTCGGTGAGTGCCTGACTGGTATGAGTAAAACAATGCTAAACACAAGACAACTCAAGGTCCAATTTCAGGCAGGCGGTGTGACTCAGCCCTTCCTCTTTATGTTGATATTACCTGCTGAAGTACATACACGTGTTTAAGAGAGGGAGCCCCTTACCAAGCGAGGCTGTCGTTTGCACGGTCCCCCACCAGGTGTCCCTCCCGCCAGCCCTGCCCAGTCCCTTTATTTATTTACACACTGAGTAGTTTTGTTGCCAGGTGTGACAGGACCAGGGAGTCGTGCCAAGTGTGGTGCCCGGGGTGCCACTTGCGCCGGGGAGGCGGGTGGGGAGCGAGGGCAAGAGAGGAAGGCACGAAGCAGCCTCTCCTCTCTCCTGCCTGCCCGGGCTGCCTCCACCTCTCCCCGCCGATGCAATTCCCTCGTGCTGCGCTTGCTGCCTGAACGGTGAGCTTTGAAAATTTGTGGGTTTTTTTTTTTTTTTTTTTTTTGTTTTTTTTTTTTTTTTTTTTTTTTTTTTCAGTGGAAAAATCAGAGAAACTGTATAAATTACATAGATGGAAAAGTCCTATTATTCCTCAACGGGGTAATGCTGTGGCCAAGGTTTTTCTGGGTCAGTGGAACCTGCACAACCGGTATCTTCATACAAGCTCCAGGTCTGTCTGCAGCACAAGGAAGGGGGCAGGCACATAAGGACTATAAAATGACCTCTAACAGGCAAGTGAAAGAGCCCTGAGGAGGAAGAAGTGGCTGTGGACAATGTGAATCAGCAGAAGTGAAGAAGTGACTGCGCACACCTTCATGCACCCACTATATGCTAGATCTGTAATAAAATGGTCACAGCCCCAGACATGGGCTTTGCCACGCTTGCACATGCAAAGCTTTCCAACGCGCTGCTGCTGTTGTGCCTGGTATCCTGTGCTGCTGCTGCTTATGGGGGTGAGCCCAGCCTGGGCAAGAGGTCCTTGCCTCACTATGAACATGATTCCCGTAGTGCTGTTGACTCTTCTCAAGACATGAGGCTACATGTTTTCACACTGGACTATGACTATGTGCAAATTCCCTATGAAGTTACCCTTTGGATCCTCCTTGCCTCTTTTGCAAAAATAGGTAAGTAGAAAATGGGATCTTAGGTCCTCCAAACTTGGAAAGAAGTTAAAAAACTATGATGTAACCAATGTATTCATTCATTCATTTTGTAGCTGGGATTGATTTTACTGTGTCTGTCCTCAAAAGAACAGGTGTGTTCATTACCACGGCAGTGCCAAAATTCCACCTTAGAATGATTCCATCTTGCTTAAGTTAACATATGACCTCTAACCTTCAGGTCTCCTGGGCTGTGAGTAGCAAATAGAAACAGAGCTCCCTAACACAGTGCTGTCCATTCATTTTTCTAGTCCTTATAGATCACAAGATACTGGAATCTGCAACCTGACACAGCTGTAGAAATCAGTTACACCAGGCTGAGACTTCAAGTGTATTGAATTTTGGGGAGAAAGTGTAAAGAATTCTTCCTTTGTATGAATAGAAGAAAACATTTCCCTCTGAGTCTTTGTTTTACATATTTGCTCGTAAAAGTTGATGTGAAAAGTAATACCAGGGAGAGAGAATGAGAGTCTGAGGGTGTGGCTCATCAGGGATGTAGTCTAAGTATCTTTTGAACACAGTGCAATGCATCTAGCTTCTATTAGAGCTCCATGTGGGTATCTGAAAAGGGAAAGGCAACTCAGGGAGCAGTATTTGCAGTAGGAACCATAATTAATATAGCAAAAAAGGCTTATCATGTCTTACACATTTTCATGGCTGGACTGAAATTATTTTGACCATTTAGAATAAATGCAGAAATATCAAATGAAGAAGATGGTAATAAATCAACGAGTTTCAAACATAAAATATCCCTTTTCTTTTGATATTTTTGTGGGATTTTCAAACTTCTCCTTAGAATGAGCTGCAGATGAGACTGATGTTTTTCTGGAGGTGACCTGAAGATAAGCAGTTCTCCTGTCCTAGCTGGATTTACCCAGCTGACAAAAATCATTACCACCATCCATGATTTGCCAGTTTCATTGTATTTGATGCCCTTAATCCGATTTCTACAAATGTCTTCACGGGTAACATAACAGTTAAAATTTTCACAAATAAAACTTGTTGTGGCATCAGCAGAGTGTGTTGATATTAAACATATTGACCAAATTCTTTATTTATCATCCATAAAAGCACAGGAATTGACATATGGCACATCTACATAATATTCTTCTTTTGAACATGAAATAGATATTTTAGAAGAACTATGTGATGCTTCCCAGGCGGACATGTTACTTTTACTGTGAATTTTCAAATAACATTATTTTTGATGAGCTGTTAATTTTAAATATATTTGGAAGAAAGAGTTAGTCAGAATAATCTGATTACCCAGGGATGAAGTTTTCCAAACTGTTAAAGTTTACAGTGTTTTGTTCAAGTATTATCTTCTTTCTGGACTTCAGTATTTAAGAGTGGGAAACAGTTCCAAGATCTTGAAAGGCAAAACAATCCCCTTATCTGTAAAACTGGAAGAAAAGTTGAAAATTATTTTTTAAATTAAAAAGAAAATGAGAAGAGTTATGATACAAACATAAA